ATTCAACACCGCTTCCTGGCTCTGTCCTGTCTTCGCTCAGACCATCTTGTCTTCTCGACGAGCTGCGATTGGTAGGCGGCTAAAGAGAGCTGGGTGCAGAACGTCGGATTGTCATTGGCATCTGTCTCACCTCGATTGGTTCGAGAAGCATCTCTGCTAGACGCCCTCGTGGAAGTGGGTTTTTGTTTTTTTCTTCATCCAACCGTACCGCAGCCAGACAGCGTAAGGGGGTCTGGAGGTTGCGAACTATTTACTGTCTCTGTGGCTTGTTTCTCCGACTTTTTTCCTCTGTCTGCAGACCGCTTCCGCTGGGGGAAAGCTCGCCCGGTGTTTAGCTGCGCGCAACAAAGGGAGAAAAGAAAAGAAAAAAAAACGGTGACTAGGGAGGGCTGTCTTCCTGACTGGGAATACGGTCTCTACTCGATAGTGTACCTCTAACTCTCTGCACGGTTCCCGTTCCAGAGGATCCAAGGAGCGCGCCTGTGCCGGCCTCTCATTGGATCTCTCCTGCCAGCGCGGTGGACGAGCGATCCAGGGGAAAAGCCACGCACCCGGCAGAGGAACGGCCATCGCGATCCCCGTCCTTGTTTGCCGCTCTGGGGAGCGCATCTTGTGCGATCCCTGCGGTCCTGATACATGTTTGGCAGCTGGATCACTGCCCTCGCCCCCATTCTCCAATCCCGCCCGGCCCTGCACCAGCGATTCGCGGTTCCGCTGTCGATCGCCGGTTGACCCGATCCAGCCATTTCGTCGCTCGCTCACCCCAGGCTATCGCTATCCTGTCCTCTCCTATCGGACCTCCAGCAATCGCCATCACCCGCCCCCTCCGTGCACACTGACTATCCTCAAGGTGAGTGAGGTGAGGTCGCACACCGGGGACGATTCGTGCGCATTCTTTTTCCTCCCCTTCTGGAAGTTGAATGGTCCTTGGCACTGTTTCGAATCGCGTCTGCCCTACACCGTCGACTTCGTCCCTAACGGCCTAACTGCGGGGCAATTGCTGTGAGACTTCGCCAGCTAGGCCAGGCCATTGAGCGCCTGTCTGGCCGTGACAGCTGGTCGTGACTGACTTCCTGTTCCTTATCTGGCCTGCAGAACAGCATCTGCCTGTCTTCGCAGCCAGTACCAGATAGAGACCTCGACCGCCTCAGCCCAGAGCCCGGTGTGTATCTCCGCTTCACGGCAAGGGCCCACGCTGTTCCACTGCGACCCACCGTAAGCTCAATCGTCGCCGTGACAGCTTGTGACCCTTAGGCTCGCTGGCCTTCAGCCAGATCATCATCAATCATTCCAGCGCGCACTGACAGCCGCCTGTCTGCAGCGCCCAAATACAGCTCCTGTGGCTGTCACAGACAAGAACAGCCGGCAGGCTCCTTACTGAATCGGTCCGTCTGGCCCTGCCAGAGTCGCCTCTGGTGCGCCGTCGCAGGATCCGCCTGGTCCAACAAGTCAATCCACTCTGGGTACGTTGTTTTCCCGCCAGCCCAGCTCCCCGTCACTAGTTAGTGATCCTCTTCTTCTCCATTTCTCAGCCATCGCTCCCCCGGCGCTCACGCAACCCTGCCTGTGCCCCAATCGCTTCTCCCGGCCTGCCGCCATCCCAAATATCCACCGCCCAAAAATAATCTCCCAACGCATCGTTCTGCTCCCCCCCGTCTTCGCCCGAAAGTTTCCCCTCTGCTTTTTTTGCCCTTGTAGTGCCTGCCGTTGGAGAAGCTCCCGTCGCTTCCTCCTTCTCCCCTTGCTGCTCCGTCCGTCGAAGACCTGGGGAAAGCTAGGTAGCCAGAGGGCATAGAAGAAAGACACGAACCAGATCCCCCCACAGCAGGCCCGATCAGAGCCGATACCCGCCTCTGGGCGTGTTTTCCGGGTTTGTCTCGTTCTCTCTGCCTGGCTTCTGTTCTCCTCCTCTTAGCTCTGCCCCGTGCGGTCTTGCATCCAGCCCCATCTTTCCCAACCTCCAACTAAAACGCGGAAGGTGGAAATCTCTTGGCCGGGCCTAAGATCGACCGTTCCTTTCGACCTCTCGTTTTCCCCTCCCCAGCTCTGGTGTCTTGCTTTTTCCCCCCTCCCCAAAAAAGTCTCTGGCGTTTTGGTAAGAGACCCAAAACCCCCCCCCCCTTCCAAAACATCTTTCTCTCGCTGGCCTATCCATCCTTTTCTGCATGCATCTCCCGTCCCAAGGGGCTTGCTTCCAAGCACGCATCTCCCCAGTTTCTTAAAACTTCCCCTTCCCTCCCCGTCTGAAACCCTGAAGAGCACAAGCCATCTTCATCTGCCGCGAGGCCTTGCGTTTGCTGCTTGCTGCTTGCTGCTGCTGCTGCCGCTGCCGCTGCCGCTGCCGCTGCCCGCCGCCGCCGCCGCCTCCGGAGCTGCTCGCTGCCCCAGCCTCCACTTTTTTGTATATGCCTTCTAGGAAACTGGGAGGTACGCGATCTCTATCCGCCAAACACTCTTATCTTACCTTGCTGCTCTCTTCTTATTGTCGTGTTTTTCTCTTGCATGCATGATTGTCTCCTCTCCCATATCGTGCCTTTGAGGGAGGGTTCCTTTGCGACTCAAAGCACCCTGTTCCCATATAAGCGCCCATTTGTACTACGGATGGAACTGTTTTGATTTCTCCATGCTGTCGCGACGTTGATCGTTTATTGATTTATGCATGCACCAAGCTTACCAGCATCCCTTTTTATAGAAGCGTCGTCTCCGCTCTCGCGCAGAGAAGAGAAGAAGCCCTCTTTCTCTCCTTTCTCTACGACCGCCACGACCGTTACGACTAGCCACGATCACGATCACCTCTGATTTTCTTTCTTGTTGTTGATCACGGCTCTGCAGACGCATACCGTTTAGACTTGTTGGCATTGATTCTCATTTGATATCTTCGGCATTTTCGGCTGTTCCCTTGAACAAAGCGTTTGCAACGGAAGAAAAAAAACGGAAAAGAAAAATATTTGTTCAAGCGAAAAACTTGCCTTTTGTCATCTGCCGCGGTTCACGATTAGACACGATACCCACGAGCTTGTTCTGTGGTCTGATTCGGAAAAGTGTTTTTCGATTCGTCCCAGCGCGCATTCTAGTCACACCATCACCGCTGCCGGTTCATGCTGCTTGCCGTGACACGACAAAAAAAAAAGTTTTGATGTAGATCCGTTTTGCATCTTGGCGTTTCCATTTTGTCTGTCTAGCTCAATTGTCTGCTTTTTCTTTTCAGCGTTCATGTTCACGAAGTCAACGAGCTTGCAACGATCGTCTTGTCATCAGATCCTCCCCGGATTACGAGATTCCCTCTGCACCGTTCTTACGATTCTGTCTTGATTGACTTCGCCGGTTTGTGGAGTGGTCATTATATTGATTGCTGTTGCTCGCTTGTTTGCATGATCTGGCCCATTTAGAGCCCGTTCGCGTTTGTCAAGATTATCTATATTGAGGGAGATTATTTCCGCTCTTGTCGAACGCCCCCCCCCCGGACGGATATCTCGCTGTCGAGACAACTGATTATTTGGGCAATCTTGCAGTCCATTTCCTGATTTCTTCCACCGAACTCTTCGCCTTGACGTCGTCAATACCGAAAAGCTGGAGCTACCGTCGATCACGCAAGTGCAGACTCGAGGTCCCGTCGACATTCCGTGGTTCAATCGTCACGCTGCTGAAAGACCGTTATTCTCCAGTGACAAATTTCCGCCGTTCCAGCCACCGATATCCCAACCATCGCCCTTGTCGGGACCCCTGTCCTTGCAGAGTGGTGCCCAGGGTGCGTCAACTGCGGTCTCTGGGTCAAGCAACTCGTCTCACAACGCCAAGGGTTTTGCCAGCTCAACGGGCGTAACTGGTGGCAGTCAGCACCAGTTGTCTGTGGAGGGCCCGGGTGCTACCGATCACAAGTTCCCAACCCAAACCCCCAGTCGAGGCTCTTCTCAGAGCCACAGTGGTCTCAACACCATGAACCAGACACAGCCGTATATGGACGTGCATTCCTCGCACTTTTCATCTCCCCAGTCGTATGCCTCCCAGAGTGCTACGGCAGGAGCTTTAGTTCCTTATTCGCATTATCAACAACAACCGCCGGTTCTGCAGCCCGGTTCGACGGCCTATCCGTCGACTGCGAATTCCTATTCTCAATATGGATATGCAAATGGCGTTACTTCAACTCAGTCGACCACGCAGCCGCCGACTACGTCCATTCCCAGCCAGATTCCTGGTCAGCTGCTGCCCTTACCAGGTAAAGACCTTCCCATCCGCCTGTCGATCGTACATGATTATTATTCTCATTCCTTTCTGTGGAGATTGCTGACCGTTGTAATTTTTCTTTCGCAGCTATGACAAGTCATACAGTGACGCCTCATGGATACGTCACTGGTTCTAATCAACAACCCACTCCGGGACAAGTTTACGATACAACCGGTCAGCTTGCGCCTCCGGGAGCGAAACCGAGGGTGACTGCTACTCTGTGGGAGGACGAGGGTAGTCTCTGCTACCAAGTCGAAGCCAAGGGTGTCTGCGTTGCTCGACGTGAAGGTACGTGAGCCACGAGTATAGGTCGTCGCGATGCATGATACTTACAAATACGGTTAGATAACCACATGATTAATGGGACGAAGCTTCTCAATGTTGCGGGAATGACCAGAGGTCGTCGAGATGGTATATTGAAGAGCGAGAAGATTCGCCATGTTGTGAAAATTGGACCGATGCATCTGAAGGGCGTGTGGTAAGATTCAGTTCCATATCCTTTTTTTTTGTGCGACCCGCAATTCCCTGTCCGACTGACAAACATTCAGGATCCCCTTCGAACGTGCCCTCGACTTCGCCAATAAAGAGAAGATCACTGATCTGCTCTATCCGCTCTTCGTGCATAACATCGGGGGCCTGCTGTATCATCCCACTAATACGAGTCGAACCAATATGGTGGTGCAGGATTCGCAACGACGACTGGAAGGAACACAACGAAGCTCGCAGGGTCCGCAAGCTCCGACACTTCACCACCATCACTCAATGCAGACATCTGTGAGCTCTCACATGTCACAGCCACCAGCCCCGTCAATACCCCCTCAACCCAGCGCTCGGCCTGGGCTGGATCGAGCAAATACATTCCCCACGCCACCGTCAAGTGCAACTAGCCTGATTCCTATTTCCAATCAGCAAAACACATACGAATGGGGTAGCCAGAACATGGCCTCTGGATCGCAGCAATTGTCCATCGACGCAGGGCTGAGCAATGCTCGATCTATGCCAGCTACACCGGCTACAACTCCCCCAGCAAACAACCTGCAGGGCATGCAGTCATATCCGACTCAGACCGGTTATGATAGTTCCAAGCCATACTACTCTACAGCCCCCCAGTCGCAGGCGCAGTATGCGCCCCAACAATCATTAGCCCAGCCAAACATGACGAGCTACGGTCAGGCGATGGCCACAAACTCTTACGTGAAGAATGAAATGGCGCCCCCATCCGCGAGGCCATCTGGCGTCCAAGGGGAGGCAGAACCAGTTGAGGTGAAATCTGAGCGCTATGGTCAAACAAACGGGCAGGTCAGCCAAGGAGCAGCCGAGGGAGAGCCGGCGGTTCACGAGCAGGAATCCGAGTATCTCAACGATAACGGTGCGGCCTACAGCACCAACCGCAACTCCTACACCTACACGACGAATCCGTCTGTGGGATCTCTAGTGGGAGAACAGTCGCAAATAACCCCGGCTATGACTGGTTCACCATCCCAGCAAAATGGTACCGATCAAATGACTCCTCGCACCGCCGGTGGGGCTCCACAGTGGGCTCAGGGATACAATAATACACCTCCCAAATCCGCACAGTCGAGTAGCCTGTACAATATTGTCAGCGACACACGCAGCACGGCAACCAACGGAAATACCGCAGACTCGTTTCCTGCAGCAAATACCGCCTCTGGTTATTCAGCTTCTGTGAACGGTTCCATGGGCTCGACAAAGCGGATTCGAGAGGACGACGATGATCGGGTTGCTCGACCAGACAGTGGCGGGGGAGAGTACGATCATAAGCGTCGCAAGACCTTGACCGAAGCGCCCGTTGGCGGGCCTGTTGGCGGGCCCCTGATCAGCCTTCAGCCTGTCAAGGCAGGAGTGATGTCCCGGCGACGATGAACATTGACCTCTAGCACCTAGTCAGCCTAATGAACGTTGAAGTCATTCTCGATTGGGGGATGGTTGTTCTGCTAATCGAGTTTTATATTGTCCCGTTGAAAGTTTCCGTCCGGGCTCTCTCGTTGATGCTTAGAAGGCAGACATCCTCTGTTTCATGGCTGGCGTTCCGAGTCGGTTCAAGACGTGTGGCAGTAAGGAGCTACACTACTGGTATGGCTGTTCTTTGCCTACATATCATTTACAGGGGAGAGGAGGCAATGGGAAGGCTTAGGCGCAGACTTGGGAAATGTTTTCACGACGGGACACGCGGTAATGGGGTTCTCTTCTTGCCATCTGGCTGACTCCATGGTTTACACCTTTCGGGTTACTGTTGTTCTTTACCATGGAGCATCACCAAGGCCTGGACATTCTGATGATCTGGATGACCATGTGGTTGAACCAGACCTAGGCATCCGGTGTGTACTATCATATCCAGGTCGTGGTGACTGGTCTGTTGTTGTTTTTACATTTTGGGTTGTGTTGTTTTGGGCTTTGTTCCTGGGCATGTGTTTCGTTGCAACAATTCCTTTTTTTTTAACGACCATGATGAGACGAATTTCCTTATGTTTTGATGTTCTGGCTTGTTGAATCTGTGGTTTTTCTTTTTTTTTTCCTTGTGTCTTTGTTTCGACAAGTGCAAGGCCTGTCACCGCGCACTTGACCAAAACTCCATTCCTTAGTTCATTCCTTTTTCATCTCTTTTCCCAGTCTTTGGGCAAGAAAACAGTCGGTTTCCCGACACCTGCAGCTCTTTTTTGTTTTTATCTGCCGGTCTAAGCCGGTCGCTGTTCTACAAAAGCATGTTCTAAGAAGAGATGACAGTCATGATAACGAAAGCTAATTGAAATACTGTTTCTGTCTGCTTCAATGGGATTGCAGAAGTATGGATACAAGTAACTCGTAACTCTTTATGTTAGTTGCGACATGCCAACGGATTTGATATGATCTAACCCGATCAGGCAATATGAAAACACGCGGATCGCTGCAGTCTTGGCGCGCGCAACCAGTTCGTCACGACTCACAACACAGTTTTCTAAGAACCCTTGCGTCTAGACGCTCTTACTTAGATCGACTGACTACGTATAATTGCTCTTCTTTGAGAGTTCTTCCGCAGGTCAATTTTGCTGCGAAATGCTATTTTTGTTATCTGCGCCGTGATCGATCGAACTTTTCTTGGGTTGTGTTTGATCTGGCATTCGTCACCCCGCATCATCAATCAACGTGAACTACCCTCGATTGATTGATTATAAACACATGGACTCGACAGACAGTACGGAGTACTGTATATTGTCTTGACGCCTTGTCATTATTATTAGTCAGGGGAGACAATATTGAGTACCTTTATGTCTTGAGGCTGCTACCTTTTTTTTTCCCCTTCTTGTCAGTCTTTACGACCGACGTACTTACTACATACCTCCCTGCATTGAACAATGGCGTCATCATCATCATCACAGATCACAAAATACCCTGATGATAAATCACTCTCATCTACTACTTCTTCGTCATCATCATCATCATTGAATTGCAAAAAACCAACTCGCCTGAGTGATCTCACTTTCCGAAACCAGAACATTTTCGATCCCTGGAACTCAGCTTCTACAGGCCATCAACGGGCAGAAAACCCGTACTCCTGCACGACTGAATGGCGACAAACGCGGACGGAGAAACTTGCAAGGCAGTTCCGAGGGGTGCCGAGTGACGACTGCTCTGACGCTACCAATAGCAGAGGAAAAACGACAGGAGAATGGCGATGGTTATCAGCAGAAGAAGCGAAGAGAAAGGAGCTCGGTTGTGAGGATATTAGGAAGTTCTTTGGCGGGGTGAAGAAGGGTCAGACGGAAATATCCATATCCGTCTCGAAGAAGGCAGGCCTTCTTCCAACAATGGGGTCATCGTCAAGACAAAAGCTCACGTTTTGCGAGAACAATAACAACGACAGCGACAATAATAACAATAATGATGATAATGACAATGACAATAAGACGAACGCAGTCGATGACAACATTCCAGGTCATAAAGAGGAGGAAGAGAAGAAGAGCGAACCAGAACCAGAACCACAACCAGGGCAAGGGCAAGAGCCGGGACAACGACGAGGCATCTTCACCGGTCTAACATTCTACATCAACGGCTCCACCTTCCCACTAATCTCAGACCACAAACTAAAGCATCTCCTTGTCGAGAACGGCGGCAACATCTCCCTCGCACTGGGCCGACAGAGCGTGACGCATGTGATTCTGGGGAGGCCAAACAATCACAACACCGACAATAACAACAGCAACAATTGTAGTGGATATAATTATCCCGGAGCAGGAGGCGGTCTCTCCGCAGGGAAACTGCAAAAAGAAATCTCCCGCGCAGGAGGAGGAGGAGGAGGAGGAGGGGGGAAAGGAGTGAAATTCGTTGGTGTGGAGTGGTACGAACGAACCCTGACCCTCCAAAAAAAATGCCCCTAATTGTCATGTTGATGCTGATTGATATACAAGGGTCCTCGAAAGCCTCAAGGCATCCAAACGTCTCCCCGAAGCACGGTTTTCGTCGATGCATATGGCGGCGAGGAAGCAGCCTAGTGTGTATGGGATGTTTGCTAGAGAAAAAGATATTAGCAAGCAGAAAGGGTAGCTAAGACAGAAAGGGTAGCTAAGACAAAAAAAGAAAAGATAAGACGAGTATGTGCAGTGTAAGGTATCTATTTATCCACTGACTGAATGACTTATGATAATATCTATGTATTGTATTGTACTGTACATTGTAGATACGTACATGTACATGACATGTTTAACAGACTTATGGCTAACTATTCCTTTTCCCTTCTTTCAATCTTGTCCTTACGACCTACTTACCTACCTACCTACCTACCTACTTACTGTACTGTACATGCAGCATATCTATCTATCTATCTATCTATCTATCTATCGCAAACAAAAAAAAACACTCTGATATGATATGATACTCATCGCGCTCTCTCTATCTACTTTGCATGTAGAGTACATACTTCTCAGAAAGAACACCAACACCCCCTTTGCTCAGGTTATGCATGCCAACCAAGCCGTTACTGTATAGTACTGTATATGTCGTGGTACAATGGCGTACCCCGACGGATCCCGACCAAGGTCCGTCCTTACGATCTCATGGCTCGTCCTTTCATATCACGTGAAAGGTTAGACCTTATCCTGTATAGTAGCCGGAGGACAGAGGACCACAATCGAATGGATATGCCATTAAGCCTTTACAGTATAGCTAGCTAGTTATCTATGAATAACCAGCTTCATTTTATTTTATTTTATTTAATAAGCTTATTTTATTTTTTAATTTTGGACATATGTATATATGCTGGATGTCAAAACTGAGGGGTAATAATGATAATGCATGTATGTATGTGTTCGAACATCGGGAAAGGAACTTGAGTACGCGCCAGAAGTCATTTCAAAGCATCAGACGATCATCAGACGATTTGACACTGATCATAGTATATCTAAACAATGAGAATGGGACAGGTTGAAGCGCAGCTGCTCAACTTAGTAGAGGTCTTATTTCTTTATATGCCGAAAAGATCGATTATTCACTATATCAAAATACGACAGACCCATCAATCAAAAAATTGTGTCAACCTGGGCAGCTATCATTCACACTAGGGGTTCACTAGATAGATAACCTAGGTTTTTTTTTCCTTTTGTGCCCCCAGTCTGTTTGAAAGATTGTTTGTATTGGCCACCTTTGCCTCCACCACGGGCCCTCTATATATGTCCGAGCATCTAGTTCTTTAACATGCCATTTGTGACGCCTTCGTCATTTGCGACTCCATTGCCGTTCGTGACCCCGTTGCTGTTTGCTACCCTGTTGCCATTCGCGATTCCATTTCCGTTTGCGACACCATTGCCATTTGTGACTTCATTGCCAATTGCGACTCCACTACCGTTCGCAACTCCATTGCCATTCGTGACCTCATTGCCGTTCGCGATTCCGTTACTCTTTGCGACTCCATTGCTTGCGACCCCATTTCCATTGACCTGAACTGGGACTATTCGCAACAGCATATCACCTTTCTCGACAGAATCTCCGGCGGCAATTGAAATATCTTCAACCCTGCCACTGACCTCTGAACTGACATTGACCTCCTATGTCCCGAGTTAGACGCCTCAACCAATTTTCTCTTACCAGTCTTATCATCTCAAGCGGCAGTGCGACTAATCTACTCACCATTTTCATAGCACCGATCGTCAACAACACGTCGCCGGCTTTGACCTCGCTCTGATTCTGAGCGACCACTCGGATGATATTCCCAGACATAGGTGCTGCCACCTCACCGTCGTGGACATTGGCTTTTCGCAGTTTCTTTTCGGCGTTGCTGTATCATTTGACAGGTTAGTAAAAAAAATTGATAATGTCGTGTAGTGTACGCACGCAATGCCTGCTCCATTTGTGTCGTGGGTATGCATATGGATCGGAATGTCGGGGTATTTGGCTCGGATCGCCCGTACCAAGGCCCGGCCTGCCGCCGGTTTCATCACCCCAGACATGGACTTGACCGCAATAACATGAGCGCCGAACTCAATCAACTTGTCCACGATGTCCATGTAATAGTCCAAAGTGTACTTGCCCGGTGCCATCATATCCCCGTGTACATGATAGTACCCTCCACGAGTCCGCCAGCAGCAAGAACGGCGCGAATGCCCACCTCGAGGTGCTCCAGGTTGTTCAGGGAATCAAAGACTCGGAATATATCCACCCCAGTATCCTTGGCGAGCTTCACAAAGTGATACAAAGCGTTATCTGGTAATCTATGGATCAAAGCTTCTGTCAGCTATCGGAGAGTCGCTTGAAGGCAGGTTACACCTTACGCAGAATATGCCACTCCATTGGTGCTTCTTAGTAGCATCTGAAACGGAATATTCCTACATACCCATCAATTAGAGACATGGTCCTGCTTGATATGGTGTCCGGAGGCACTTACGGAACTAATTTTCGTAGTCTCCGCTGTATGTCAAAATAAAATAACTCGTTATTGAATTGTCTTTTATCTCAGACGGGGTGCTTATCACTTACCAGGCGCTCCCATGGGTCCTCGTACAAAAAGCGAAGCATAACATCAAAGGTTGCCCCTCCCCAGCACTCCAGACTGTAAGCTGCACTGTAAGCATGGCTCGTATGGATCGCTATCGCCGCCAAGTCCCTCGTCCGCACACGGGTTGCTAAGAGTGATTGTTGGCCATCTCGCCAAGTTGTATCGGTGATTAGGATTTGTTTGTGGCGTCTGATCATTTTGGCGAATTCCTGTGGTCCACGTTCCAGAAGCACCTGCCGCCATCCATGGGGGCATGGCTTTGTGGTGTCCAACTTCTCACCCGTCTTTCTGTCAAAGAGCGGCCCGGTTGCAATGTCATCCTTCACTCCGGGAGGTTTCTATGGCCACGGTCAGTAAGGATGTTCTGAAAGAAGGAAAGTGACCCGGCAAAAGGCACATCCACGTACCACTTGACCCTTGATCCTGCTGCCATTGACATAGGCATCTGCAAGAGAGAGTAGAAATTTATGCTCTCTGTCAAGAGATGGTTCCGGGGTAAGAAGCTCAGGATTGTCGTCTAGAATGAGGTCCAGCAATTCCCAGCCGAAAACACCGGGTGCTCAAGGAGTCGGATCAAGAAAGAGATATTGGTCCGTACGCCTCTGATTTTAAACTCTCTGAGCGCGCATAGTGCTTTTTTCCTTGTTGCAGTCAAGTCTCGATCCGACGTGGTGCACTTGACCAGGAGCGAGTCGTAGAATGGGCTAATCACTGCGCCTTGGAAGCAGTCACTTAGTCCAAGCGCACACCCTTGCAAGTCGGCAATTTGCAGAACTCAATCTTGCCACTATCCGGACGAAAGCCTGATTGATTATCGAGATTGTTATCACAAGGTCTGCCCCCTCAATTTCGGGCTATGCTCACCTTCTGATGGGATTTCAGTGGTGATACGGCACTGCAGAGCGCATCCACGCTGAGAAATCCGGTTTTGCGTCAGGCCTAATTCAACCAAGCTTGCGCCACAAGCGATACGCAGCTGGGCGGCGACGATATCAATTCCAGGGAGTTCTTCGGTCACTGTATGCTCGACTTGACTGTGGAGCTTTTAAGCAGGACCGATCCCGAGTAGGCCTTGATGGGGTCTGCGGACTTACATTTGGGGGTTCATCTCGATAAAGTAAAACCGGTCATTTTCCACGAGAAACTCCACTGTCCCAGCATTCTCTGGAAAAGTGGTTATTTTACTGGATCATACCATCAAAGACCACAGGTGATATCGTAGAAAAAAAAAACTTACCATAGTTGAGATACCTTGCCAGTCTAACGGCTGCATAGAAAACACCTAGTCGAACCTGGGGCAGCAGATTCGGAGAAGGCGCGAATTCGATCACCTTTTGGTGCTTCCGTTGCACGCTGCAGTCGCGCTCGAATAGATGAACATGGTTGCCATATCGATCGCTTAGAATCTGGACCTCGATGTGCTTGGGCCGATCCAAAAATCTCCAGTGGATGTGAGCTTCCACTCACTCGCCGGTATGAACATGTACCCACCGTTCGAGAAACACGGCATCATTCCCAAATGCACTCAGAGCCTCCGATCTTGCGGCAGTCACCGCTGCTTCCAGGGAGTCACCCTCGCGAACGACTCGCATGCCTCGACCGCCACCTGTAAATGTTAGCGAACCGTAACACTTGCGCTGTAGACGAGATTGTCTTACCACCAAAACTGGCTTTGATGACAACCGGATATCCATGCCTGCCGGCAGACCATCAGCGTCCTAGAACTTGAACAGCCCGAAGGATCTTAACCAACCTTGCGACGAAATCGTATGCCTGTTGGAGGTCTTGCAATGGACCGTCGGTGCCAGGGATGATCGGAATGTCACATGCTCGTGCAATCTCACGAGCCAGCACTTTATCACCCATTTTTCTGATTACGTCGGTTGGGGGACCAACGACTACTGAGATTAGTACCAAAGCCTGGAGAAGGATACAGTCTCACATACAGTTCATCCCAGCATCGCGAACTTGGGCCGCAAACGACGCATTCTCCGAGAGGAATCCGTACCCTGGATGACTAAAACCTCCCAATAGATTGATTAGGCATCTTCTCCTTTCAAGTTCGAGATGACAGGATATTTGCTTACACGAGATCGACGTTTTTCTGTCTCGCGATCTCAACGATTCTCGAAGCGTCAAGATAGGCATCTCTAGAAGGAGTTAGCACAAGAATAACCCATATGCTGGGAACCTGGAAAGGATCAGCCCTACATAGGGCCTAATTCTCCCGGATTGGCAATCAAATAGGCAGCGTCCGCCTCTGCTGATGGGTAAGTGAGATGTCACCGGAGGACCCTTTGATTGTTACTGGGAGGTTCTGACTTAGCCGCTGTCCTCCGCCGAGTAAATCGCGACGGTGGACATGGATAGCTCCTGAGCTGCCCGCAGCACTCGAGCAGCGATTTCGCCGCGCTTTGCGACAAGGACCTTCAACTTGTCCATGGTGAATCGATCTCGGTACGGATGTTTTCAGTCAACAGCAAAGAATCAATAGATTGTGGTACGATATTTCGAGTCCTTCATGATGTCCACCCGGTTTGGAGAGCGATATATAAAACACAATCCAGATATTCCCTCTACCAGACCGAGGCTCACAGGATTGAAATTCACCGATTGATTGCATTTTCGTCTGCCAGGTGGCCAATCAAACTGAGGTTTCCGGCAGTGGAGCTTCATGCTCAACCTAACAATGACCATATCCAGGCCATCACTCTTCAAGATAGAAGACCATCCATCATTTGGAGCACGTAGGCCGCATCCCGCCTATACATCAAAAGAAATTATGCGGATCGGCAACGAGGCGAGCTGAATGACGGGAGAAAGAGGAACAATGGAGGCCGCATGAAGGACGTCGCGAAGCACTGATGATCTCTGACAGCTCTTTGCGGTCGGAGTGGTAATTAATTACAGCATGCCCCATCTCGTACAGGGCTGGGAGGGGAAGACAAAAGTGCCCCGGGGCTTCTGCAGGACTGTTCGCTGCCAAAACATGGTTGTGGTTTCCATTTGGATTTGGACCGTGGTTGCAGCGAAGATGACGCATCTGGGGTTTTGTGCAGATGAGGAGTCAGATAAAAAATGACTCTTGTGCAGATGTGGAGTCAGATAAAAAGAAAAGAAGAAGAGAAGCATGAGAGGAAGAGAGCTATGCCTGGCTGATGCTGGCAGGGATGATCTGGGAAGCGTAGCAAGGGTCATTGCAGATGGTGGTCATGGCTAGTTGGGTAAGGCCTGCACGGCCAACCAATAACATCACGCAGTCTGCATCAACTCCGGTCGTCGAGAAGATTAATCTCCGTTCCGTATAGGGAAGCAGCGGGTAATTTTTCATCTGCCATGCACTGGTATGATCTCGTAAGCAATATAGTGCAATTGGGGTGGTTTACAGCTAGGTTGGCGTGGATCGTGGAGCCAAAACCCCTCGTGGACCCTGCATGAGCCTAATTCTCCACCTGCATGCAGATGGCGGACGGGCCGAACGGGGTCCTGCATGAACGCTATTACAACCTACTCCACGCATTGCAACGGACTACAAGCAAATTGAAGATGGCATACGGAGGACTCGGTCTGGGCAGACGCTTGATTGGTTTCTACCACGGTCAGAACCACGGGATTGACTGCACTCGGTACTGTACTGTACTGTACATGGTAACTAGAGACAACAGAAGAAGATGATGATCCACTCTATTTCACCACCGCCATCAGGAAGCCATCATAGTTCTTCTCCGACACCGTCTGCATCAGAGTCGCCTCAACCCTCGGATCCTTGCCTGCCTGCTCAATGACCTCACGCGCCCCCGCCACGGGTCCCTCCTTGAGCTTCTCCGGTTTGACAATGTTGCCTTTGCGCACCACGTTGTCGACGATAATCGCGGAACCAGGCAGACTGATGCTCGCGGCGAGGTCGAAATACGGCCAGTTGTTCTCCTTGTCGGCGTCGATGAAGGTGAACCCGGAACAGGGGACGCTGCCCACTGACCACCTCCGCTTTGATCTTCGGCAGCGTCTCCAGCGCTGGGCCGACGATGATCTCTACTTGATCGCCAACCCCCGCCCGTTCGATGTTTTCGCGGGCAACCCGCGCGTGTTTCGGATCGACCTCCAGACAGGTGATGCGGATCCCGGGGTTCAGGGTCGCAATCCAGATGGCCGTGTAGCCTCCGAGGAGGCCGACCTCGAGAACGTTCTTTACGTTCCCAATGCGACACTGGAGGGCCAGATACTTGCCGAACGCCGGGTAGGTCGAATCATCCGGCATCCCGCTGCTCCGGATGTGTTCGAGAGCCGCGTTCAAAGCGGCTGCGTTGGGACGCGTGGGAGGATGAAGATGCGCGACGCCGTACGCATCGACGCCGGTCCAGCGATCATCGTGTTCATAGTCGTCGTTGACAAAGATATCCTTGGTCGACATGGTTGTGACGGAGGTCAAAGAGTCTGAAGCAGTTTGGATAGCACTCGAAAGAAAAATCGAAGGTTGTAGTTTTTCAATTGAACTTGGACTTCAGGAAAAGCGAAGAGCACCCATTTAAATAGTGACGACACACGATTTACACGAGAGTATGATTATTTAGTCCATAGAGGGGCAGTTGATGGGAGAACGACGGACAGACACATGGCACCTTTACATGTCGCGATGTGATCATTATGGAATTAGCTGCAGTAGTGCAAAGTCTAGGTCGCGATGCATGCCTGTCTTCAATGCTGCGATATAGTGGCTTCAGGTCTCAATACCATTGACGTCGAGTTCGAGGGAGCCAGGACATTGGACCATGGGCCAACAATATGCATGGTTAGTTGATCTTCCAATGGGTTACGTAACATTCATAAGGGCTGTGAAACAGAGGACAGACATTGTCATTCATCTCACCTTCTCCGCGGTCCAGAACCCCCCAGATGGCAGGCTTGCCGTTTGGATGTATCAACCTTTGTCATAGTAAATCTCGGTGTATCTACACGGTTAGACTATGGAACATGCATCAGGTACGTTCTAAGAGAGCTTCAGGAAGAGTCAGAATCCTCAATTGGTCATTCCGGAAGTGAAAAAAAGACTAGGTTCTGCTTTCTTAATACACTTCCTGTTGTCTGCCAATGATTGCCGTCCTTCAGAAAAAGAAAGAAAGACGGCAGTGATATGCAGTCAATGCCAATTGTAGGGCCCGTCTCTGCAATCCTAACTTTAAGATCAACGCTATGTTCCATTATTTTCCCCTCCTGCCAAATAATCCTGCAGGGATGGTAAAACAATAATGCCCCTCATCTGATGGTCAATCAGCAAGCAGCTTGACGATGATGATCAAAGAAAAATGCTACTGAATTCAAAATATTACAGATGTCATCGACGACAGAACTATGAGTGCCAGAGAGACATGACCAAGATGCTATATTTGTGTTTTTGATCAGCTGGCTGTATTGCTACAGTATATGTATGACATTATTGATGATGGACGACCGGTCTGGTCTTTTTTTTTTCCCCATTTCCATTGCATATGTATATTGTATATGTATTCGTATTCGTACCCATATTCTTTGTCTTTGTCTTTGTCATTCATACATAGCTTGTTTATGTCCATGCCCGTGCCCGTTCCCGTATCCAGTCCGAGTCCCAGTCCAGTCCGAGTCCGAGCCCATATGCAATGACACCCATGTCTAAACAGTAATAATGTCCACAAAGTAGAAAGGAAGACAAAAAAATTAGCGGGTAAAAAAAAAGGTAGACATGAATAGTACATCAAGATTCCCATCCATCAATCGTCATGTCAATCATTCATTTCGTCCGAAGTTTGTTCACTGTTAGCTATTTTCGTTTAGATGAACGCCCCAACAAGACGTCGACTCGCTCCGTCGTCACTGCTCCCGCTGTTGCTGCGGCTGCTCGCCCTGCTGGACATAGACATATCCACCCCCCCGGCGACTGTCCCCGTCGCCAGCCACTCTCACGACGTCCACCCCGCTGGCCACCCGACGCGGGCGATCGCTGCGGCGACGGCGACGATGACGACAGAGACATCACCCCGAGATCCGGACTGCCGTGGCCCTGTCTATGCCGTTCAACCCGCACATACGATCGCTCCTCATACGATCCGCCTTCCGCACCCGCTTCTTCAGCAGGGATAGGAGGAAGAGAGCCGGTCCGGCTGGCCGTGCCTGGACGTCCGTGGCGAGGATATTGTCTGGTGCTGTGTAGTGAATCGGGCGAATGTGTGCGACGCGATCGAGGCCGCTCCCCACCTGCACTGTCATGTTCAGGAGGCGGCGGAGGCGGGGAAGACACTCGTCGTACAGGCGGATACAGCATATGAGGGTCGACTTCAGCGTGATATGGATGCACGTCTTCATACGGGGGAAAAGTAGTGGTGGACATCGATGAGGTTCTCGACGCCTGATACGGGCGAGAGTACGCCTCTGGGACCGGCGGTTCCACTGCCTCTAACGTCGAGTCGAAAGAATCAGGAGACTCTGCTCGTGGAATCTTCTCATCCAGGTATTCATCTTCTACTTCCGCCTGTCGAGAGTCCCCTTTCACAAGACCGAGCCTCTCTTCCTCGGTGGCATGCTTCATCGCTCGTTTCTGTTCAAGACTGGCCGATCGCTCGGATCGCCTCAGGATCCCACGGCTTGGGCTGTTAGGGCTCCGAGGGGAATTCTCGGCCGATCGCATCCGATTGAAGACCGTCTGGAAGGAAAATTGACGTCGTGCGGAATGAGGCGGCTCCGGCGCCAGATGGCTGCTCCGGCTGGGCGTTCGGTCCGGGCGGACCTCATCTGCCCAGGCGATCGATCGAGGCGTGTCACTGCGTTCTCGCCCTGGCTGGAACGGTGCGTCGAGGGCGGTTCCTCCACTTCCATGGTAGGCCGTGTCGACATCTTTGTTCGGAGGAACAGAGATTTCAGTCAACGCGACGGGGTGCAACGGGCTGTGAGCGTAATTTCCCTCCTGACCAGGCGCCCGCCATTGTGAGGGATGGAGCATGGTCGACGCCCGGCTCCGGACCTCTTCGAGGAACGTTTGTCCACCCTTCCCACTTGGCGTCCGCGCCGGCTGTTCGCCTTCGTCCGGGAAACGAGACATACCCAGCGGAGGATGAGGCGAACGCGGCGTCCGCGGTGTTCGCGGGGCCATCGTGGGACCCTCACCGATGACGGTCTTGCGTCGTCTCAATCCATCCCACTCGATAATCTCATTCTCGGCAGGCGGTTTCAATTGATCCTCCTGTCTCTCCCTAAAGTACCTCTTCGCTTCCTCTTCTTCCATTTTCTGTCTTGAAACCGAAATGCGGCGGATGATGGCGGCAGTGCCACGAATGGCATCAGCCTTGGGCTCCGACTCGGGCTGCTCTTGCTCGCTGACCTCCCGGATCTGGTCCAAGTCGCCCTTGAAGATGGCCGCATCAGGGACGTCCTTGGCCGATTTGGACAGTTGCAACAAGACCACCCCCGAGCAAATCTGCAAGAATCCCAGAACCATGGTCACAATCGCCATGACGGAGCCGGGGAAACCCTGGAACAGGATCGCCGACGTCACGATTGTGGCACTAGTGAAGAAAACATAGTAGGTGGGTGTGACCAGTGCGGCATTGAAGATATTCAGCGCTTTCTAGAGATAAGAGTCAGTGGGGGATGGAAATGGACAGCACACAGATCGAGCACAACTCACATTGAGGTAGATAATCTCGGTCAGGAGGGAGACAATGACAAAAGCCAACACCACATAGAGAAACCATTGGTTGAACTGGGGGATGCCCCGGATCTGGGCGAGAATGGCGGCACCCAATCCTTGCGTGGCGACGACACTCAATCCTCCGATCAGACTGCAGATGGTCAGGTAGACGAACATGCTCCGTTTGCCGTAGCGGGGACCAGCCCAGAGCGCGACAATGGTACAGCCGACAACGACGATGCCGGCGTAGACCAGAAAACCCGGAGCGAGGACATAGTGCTTCATCTGCTGAATGGTCGATACGGACGACTGCTGAGGAGCATTCAAAGCGATGACGACCGAACCAACGATGCAGTTGAAGCAGCCGACCTTGCCGACAAAACTGAGTCGTTCTTTCAGGAAGATGGCGGACAAGATGGTCGTGACGACCACCGACAGAGCGCCCATAGGGGTGACGAGAATGGCATCGACAAAGGCGTAGGCGACAAAATTGCAGATCTCGCCGACGATCATCAAGATCATGCCGGACCACCACCAGGCGTTCTTCAAGTAGCCGTAGCCTTCGCCAGCCTCCTCATTGTACTTGACGTTGGCCTTGAGCAAGCCGGTCTTTTTGAGCACAAAGGACGAACCGATGAAGACGCCGGACGAAACGGCGAGGGTGATGCCGATGGCCTTGTAGACGGGGGGTTGGGAGGTGTTGCTGCTGGAGTCGCGAGCATAGAGAGCATTGGCATGGGCCAATGCAGCTACAGTCGTGTCCATGACGGCGAAGGCCACTGCCAGCAATGGCGGTCGCTCCGTCTGTTGTATTTACCTCTGGAAATGGGTTTCCAGAGGCAGCGACGACAGAATCGGTGAGCTGTCGTGCGGTGAGAAAAGGCGGACGGGGAGGCGGGCGTAAGAAATGGCGAAGAGATATGGACAGTCGTTATCGGAGAGGCATGGGCGTGACAGTCGTTTCAGGTTGGCTATGAGACAAGGGTGAAACTCGAGTCGTGGAGAGTCTCACGAGGGAATCGTCACACGGCAGTTTTTCGATTTCCTGCTTGCGACAGTGACAGCGGTTGACGCCGATGACGTCGCAGAAGTAGCGGCGATCAGCGGTTGACAGAAAAGGGGATTCGTCGACGGGCGCTGCGGGGAACAGGCGTGTCGCCGTCTGGAAGCAATTAATTGATCGGAAAGCGGAGCCAGTCGAACAGCCCGCGAATCGAAGCGATTTCCTGCCGCCAGAGTCCTTCTGGATCTATATTCAGAGCGATCAACGAGTGCACACACGGCTCGAGGGTGAGAACAGGAGGACGGAGTAGGAGGAGCAGAAGAGGGGAGGAGAGGTTGAAACGGCGTCGGCGGCAGAACTGCCAGAGAGAGTAAAACAGTAATCAAATAAGCTTTGGGGCGTCGGTCCCTGAACGCGCGACGGCAGACGGAGGATTAATCGCACCCAGACGGCGAAATGAGGAGGTGATGAGAAGAGAAGAGAAAGAGAAATCATGAATTGGCCAGGTGGGTTTTTTTTTTCTCCTGCAGCGCACCCCGACCACCTCATTAATTAATCGACAGACGCTGAGCTGCATCTGCCTGGACGACCCATCATCGCTGATGCTGTCAGGGCGGTTGCGTGGTCGCCGCGTCTGTGCGGGCTCTGGCGGCCTCTGATTGGCCGAGCCATTCTCCAGCCACCGGCGCTCTCCACGCGACCCATCTCCCCAGCCTCACTGTGGGTAATCTTAGCGATTCGAATATGAACTTAAGAAAAGTACCCTGCGTACGAAGTAGTAGTAGTAGTTACTAGTTGCGTGTTCCCTTGCACAGCCCATCGTCAGAGCTTCCCGTTGGTACACCACGTGGACAAAATTAGAACGGCGGCTAGTAATTTTCGACTACTAGTTCACAGGATATTACGCAGTATCTTAGTAAAGCTCGTCTTTTGATGCTTAAAATTTAAAAAAAAAGACATCAAAAACCAGACTCAGACAGATTCTTCAGGTTCATTATCTTCCTATTCGTCTTGTCCGTAAGACCAGCTAAAGTTACACACCCGCCCTTTTGAACCTGCTCCAGGGGGACATCATGGTATCGCCAATGCAAACACGACGCACGAAATTCATCAATGCCCATCAAAATACACGTTCATCATCGTCATCAAAGAAATCATGAAAAGGTGAAAAATAATCCCGAAGATCGACGAACAGAAACCCCAGAACCATCCATTCAATCCCCGGCAACATATGCACAGAGATATGCCTGAGGTGAAGGAAAAGACATAAACTCGTGGAGCAGCATGTCATCAAAGAATGGAGATACACATCAACCTTTCTCATCTTACGTTGTAGGTCGGCTTGCGAAGCTTGTTGACCGGTGGAGGCCCATCCACCGGATACGGCGGTCGCGGGTGTCCATTGGTATATCCACCGGTCTGAATCGGTCGAGGAGGCGGAACAGGCATGGCAACGCCTCCACCTCCATCGTCCGGATAAGGGATGGGGGTTTTAGGCGGCACCGGCGGTGGAGTGTTCGCGCTCAGCCTGTCAACACTGTGACGCGGTGACCCTGGCTGTGGCGGACTCGGGCGGGAAGGTGCCTCGCTGTGTGGATAAGGCGCGAGATCGCCCGAACGGCGGGGAGGCGCGGTGATGTTCGCATCCTGCGGCGTTGGATGGTGCGGAAGGGAGTCTGGCGACGTGGGAATTTCATCGGGTGCGATGACGGTGAACTTCTCATCTGAGGCAGTGGGCACTGATGATTGATGGGAAGGCGCCTTGGGAGAATGTGTTCTCGGGATTTCATCCGCCGGAAGCTCGACTGCCATGGGATTCGAGGGAGGCGGGACGACCGAAGGAGCAGGGGGTGGTGCAGTGACAACGTTCTCCCCGTCTGACGCGTTTTCGGCTGTTGCTGCTGCATGGGCGGCGAGACGGCGATGCGTGCGGTAGATCTTGGCCAGCTTCGCGGCACATTCCGAAGTCATGGCCTGCACCTCCGGCTTCGCCAGATATCGCCGTGTGCTGGTGCTGATGTCGGCCAGACGATTCCACTCGTTCATCCCAAACTCTCCCACGCCCACCTCCACGTTCAACCGGTAGTAGTTTTCCTTCTTGACGTTGCGCTTGGCCAAGTGCTCCTTGAGCATCTTCTGGTGGATCTCTTCACACCCCTCGATCTTCGCAATCAGCCGCCTCCGTGCCTCCGCGAAGCTGCCCAGGGCATCGCCAAAGAAATCCTCCCACCATTCATGTTGTCGATGGCTCGTCCCCGGCGGTCGCTTTCCGGTCCCAACACTGACAAAGACCCCGATCTCCCTGCCCGGCCATTCGTTAACGGCCGCTTCATCGAGAGCTAGAGGCGCCGGGTTGTATGGCCCCGCACCTTCATCGATAAAAACGTGTTGTCCAATCTGGATTGGTTTGAACGCGAGCCCCGTGGCGGACGTCGCGCGGCCGGCTTGCCAGATGGTGCAATTGAATTCGGGAGGAGGTTCCTTTCTCGAGTCATACGATCGCAACAACGTCGGGGAGCCGTTGCGAGGGGTTCCTTTGTAGACGGCGGTAACGGCCCTGATTGTTTAAAAGCGTCAGCGATCAACTCGAACAAACCTCACAAGGGACAAAAAAAAACGAAAAAAAAAACTACTCACGTCTTGGTGCGAAATTCCCGGTTGTCATAAAGGGCGGCATCAGGATTCCCCCACATTAACCCGTTGACCAGCGTCGAGTGTCGCTGAGTGATGGGAGAGGATGGAGGGCGCGACGTGTTTGTGGAGCTGTAGCTGGAACGACTCGATGAGCGTTGGGGAATGGAACTGACCGGGCTGGCAATCTCGCGACCGCCGGCATTGATCATGTCATTTCCTTCCGATTCGTAGATTGTATGTTCCCGGACACACTGTTTAATCGCCTCCTCCAGTTTCGAAGCCTTGAACAGGGTCGAGCGGTAGGGGATGCCGGCGATGGTCTTGTCGGTCTCGAAGACGCGTCTCGTCATGCGCACGTAGACATCCTTGCATGTTTCTAGATCCAGGCGCAGGCGGCCCAGCATGAGAGCGATCAGGCCGCCGGTGCCAGTGCCGACGATGAGGTCAAAATGGTCGCACGGTTTGGGGATCTGGTCGCGACGGGGTGCTTTTCCTTCGCATTCGACGTAGGTGCGATACATCAGCTCCTGCAGGAGGATGAGCATCGAGTAGCCTCTGACACCGCCTCCATCTGTACACGGAATCAGTTCCTGGATAGCACATGCAACGTCGTGGCGGTCCTACCTAGCGAGAGAATCCTTAACGGCGGGCCTTTGGTGGTGTCTTTGCGGCGAAGCGGAGCATTCTCCATGGTGACGGCGAATTCGAAATGCTTGCGCAGCAGCAGACGCTGCCAACAGCCTGCGCTGAGAGTTATCGACTGGGTGGATGACGGCGCGGGCGGTGATCTGGTGACTGGAGGATTGTTATGGAAGTACCCGATGGTCACCTGAATACTCCGTACCTGGAGGGCCCGCGGAAGAGAAAGGATGACCAGGCTAAGCCTGCGTCGGAAGAAAGGCAGCCAAAAGCGTCGTGACTCTTTGGCCGCGCGAAGGACGTGAAGAGAAGCCTTAACTCTGACGATGGTGGCTGTTGACTGCTGGTGAAGCGGGCATTGCTGTCTGCAGTCGAGGGGCTCGGACTCACAGCGTGGCCCATCACTTGCCTTGCTGGGCACGCTCTGCTGAAGAGGACCGCCGCTGGATGCTGCGATTGGCCAGCTCTGGCGGGTCGGTCACGGTGTTATGTGCTCGGCCAATGACCAGCCACGGCTGTCGCCCACTGTGGCGGTGCAGCTCTGCGTCATTGCATCTGGCTCTCTTTCATTTCCTGATGTCAGAAGCTGTGCGATGGCCTGCTGCGGTGGAGGTCGAGATGGGGATCGCGTCAGTCACCCTCATTCTTCGACCCCTGATTCGACAATGCCGGCATCTGTTTTCCATGACGGTTCCACGGTTCATCATCCTGCTAATTTTAGACTCCGTCAGTCCGTCGTGCGATCCGATCCCGAATCCCGTTGTTTCTAGAAAGGTTTTCCTCCCTGCCTAGTCCTCTGCTTGGAGGGAATCAGAGAAAGCTGACACGATTCCATGTCATCACAGAACTGGAAAGTGTCCGGCCATAGAACCTAACCGAATGACGGAGCATATCCCACTCTTCCGAAGTAGTGCAATGGCAGAGTGGAGCCAGGCAGCCAGCCTTATGATAAGCTTCCGATTGCTTATCGATAGGAATTATTTCAAACGCAAACATTTTCCAACTTGAATCAATACCAAAACTACTGTTGTTTTTATTATTATTAACTCACGGACTTCTATTTGGATTAATAATGCAGCCAAAAAAAAAGAACAATAAGAGAGACGAGAGGATGATGTTCTGGAATTGGACATAGTTCACCAACTCCCACGTACCTAAGTATGCAGCATGCAAAGATAACGACGCGTAATCTAATTGAAAACTCGCCCTTTCCTTCTTATTTCTAGCTAGACGCCAGGACAATCAGAGGAAATTCAATCGTCATTTCTCCATTTGAAGTGCTTCTCCTGCTACACTAATTGAGTCTGGCCTATTAAAAATAGAATTCATAGTTAGAGACAACGGAGAATGACAATGATGCAGATCACTCAGGTACAAAGTCCTCCAGCTCAGTTATGCTTAAGCTGTACGTCTACCCGATCAAGTGTCCGTCCAGCAAAAGGGTATAGCATGGGAAGCGCATACAACGACTGGTTCAGCGACTGCTCCAGGTCACCTGATTTCGAGAACGGGGCAGCGGACAAGGATGGCTATCCAGTATCACGACCAGCATCCCGCACTTTGGGAAGAAGGAAGACGTGTGAATCCTCATCTTTGAAGACTGTGCAGCGTATGTCGGACGAGGTGGATTGACAGATTGGCCGGACTGAGTTGATGGAAAGGACATCTAGCATGGGATGGAATAGAGAAATTGTCTTCACAGAGGGAATCAATTCAACAGGAGGAAATATTTTAGTAGAGAGACACTTGCCCCCTCTCTTCGACTTCTTTTTCTGGATGACGCTTGCGTGTTGATCGCAGATGCAGGACATTCCCTTGATGTCGAAAGCGTGTCACCTGGTTTCTGACCTTCCACGCGATGGAAATTCGAATGTCGTTCATTCTGCTAAATACCCGGGAGACGGGAATTTCAGCCAGGTTGGTACCTTTTCCGCGCTGCCCGAAGCAGAACGTAGACAAACAAGCAAGAAGCAGACACGAAAACAAGCAGATACACATAATGGACACGGTTAGGTAAGCCTCTGTAGACCTACCCAGGGGGATGCTGGTGCAATCACCCAATCAGAGGCTTGCTTTGACCCCCCTCCAGCCCACCCCCCCCCCTCCCTTCCAAGTCGACCACGCTAACACTCACGCCAGATATAATTTCTTTATCTGCCTCCCTATCAACAACCGGGGCTGCGATGGTGCAGTGGTTAAGTAGCCTAAGTCTCTTATACCTACTAACAGTCCGCGTGAACGGCCCCGGGGGTTCGAATCATCCCTCTGGTCTCTGACCCAAATTTCCAAAAAAAAATTATAGAGTGATAGTAAAATCCCTGCCCGCCAAAAGCATAGGTGGGGGTTTTCGTAGCACCTGCGGGTCCCGGGAGGGAGGACCCCTGGTGTGAGCTTTTTTACTTTTTTTCCTCAGGGAGGGTGAGGTTGTTGATATTTCCTTTTTGGGAATATATGAGGTCCGCCCAGCGTTTTCTGAATGACTGTTACATAACCCAACAATATTGTTATAATCTATCTCAAGCTGATTATCTGGAGTGAACCATCCTAGATTATGGAATATGATTTCTTTTAGATATTCAGTTTCATCGTCATTCATAGTCGAGGAACAATCCGCGCGGAGTTGTAGTAGTATTTAACTCCGGGCTAAGACGCGGAAGCTTCCGTAGAGCATATCCGCAATTGACGTTCGTCGAGGCCTTTTTTTTCGAACTTTTTATCTCAGAGCCAGAGACATGTAAAGACTGATCAACCATACGGAACTAAAACAACAATTTTAATCGAGCCAGGCTTGTCTCTGCATCGGATTATGGATCACAGTTTCGATAGAACCTTGCAGCTAGCTCATGGAGGTAGTTGACTACCTGTCCAGTACGACAGTTAGAGCTATCAAGAGCCCCGTGGGGGGCAATTATAGGGCAGCTGTTGCATGGGAAGAAGCTAGAATTATCAATAAAATTAAAAAAAAAGTAGAAAGAAGAGGTAAAATGCTTCAACGTCAGCAGATCAACTGCCCATAGATGCTAAGCTAGCATCCTCTGCGCTGTCACACTTCAATTAGGTAGTAAACAGCTAATATATTCTGTTGTATTATGGAGTAAGCATCAACCGAAAAAAAAATTGATAATACCCAATCTTCACGTGAGCATAAGAGAAGTGAGCTTACAAGTTGCAGCATTTCCCAGAACAAGTATCCATGATCGGAAATCCAAACGATGACTTACCATCTTTGGAAGTATGTAGTATTATCCATGGATCCAATACATCTCCGAGCTTAGGGTGCCGGCAGATCGGAAGCTGACAAATAGTAAAGATATTTTCTCCACACTCTGCAGTAGAGACATAATAATAATAATTGACTGGTAAAGGAATTGGTACTATCGGAGGTCTCCTAATTCCTTTTTTTTGTCTATAGATATTCATCTTCTACTCTCCTGCACTATTTATTTATTATCAATCTACCAATCGATCGATCGATCTCTATTTACCCCACTAATTATTATATTACACCCTCGATTGCATCCCGCACCGCATTGACATCATCACCAATTATCCCCTCATAAATAACAATTACCTAATTGCACTTCAGCAACAGACATACATCTATCCTTCCCTCCTCAACCCTCGACAATCAAATTTACGAAAGCAATGGCTACTACTTCTTCTTCCTCCTCCTCAGAATTCCCGCCCGCATCGCTCCGCCCTATCGTCCAAGAGGTCGCCAGTCTACTGAAAGAGCGGAAGGAGACTATTTCTGTTGCGGAGACGGTGTGTACAAACATACTCCCTCCAAAAAAAAAAGAAGAATGCGCAGGAAAACTAATCAATTGACTATTACAGGCCGCAGGAGGAATCATCTCCGCCGCCTTACTCTCCACACCAGGAGCATCAGCTTTTTACAAAGGTGGACTGACGGTGCGTACCACCCCAACCAACCCACTGTACTGTACATATCCATACACTGATGGTGTACTTATATGTATGTACAGCTCTACACCCTCGAATCCCGCCTCGCCTTCGCCGGCTGGACCCAATCCAACGTGGACAACTACCAGGGCCCCACGCCACAGATTGTCGCCGGCCTGGCGGAGCATGTCCGTTCTAAGCTGGGGTCGACGTATTCCGTTTCGGAGAGCGGGACTGCTGGGCCGGGGAGGGGGCCGACGAGGAGGATGCCGTGAGTTTTTCACTCCTTATCTACCTTAGTTAGTTAACCTATGGAGAGAGAGTAAAAACTGATTTTTGCTTTGTGATGTTTCCAGTGGATATGTCGCGCTAGCAGTCTCCTCTCCTAATGGGACGTATACTCGCGAGATTGAGACGGGCCATGGAGATGATCGAGAGAAGAATATGGTTGCCTTTGCGGCGGAGGCGTTGAAGCTTGTTCGGGACGTATTGACGGGAAAACTAAACTAGCAAAGAGAGAGAGAGAGAGGGTTGGGTCAGTGAATATATGAGTAGATGATTCAGTCAGGACATATATATACGTCTCTCCTACGGGTTGTTGTATTTATTGCATATTCGCTGTCTACAAGATTCATTACAGTAGAGCGTGGAGATACCATCAATCATTCCTCTAGTCAACTGAATCTACATCAGGAATAACATACATACATGATTCCATCATTACCTACCTACGTAGAACACTCACTCGTCCTTCCATGGCAAATCAAACGTCCCCACCCAGTCCTCCACCTCCTGTCTCAGCAGCACAATGTCCGAAATCTCCTCCCCATCGCCCACATACTCAAAGAACGCCTTCAGGCTGCCCGGGTTCTTGACCCCCTTCGCCTCCGCGCTCTCCTTCGCCGCCTTGTCCAGCTTCTGCGTAATGATCACTGCCCGGTCCACGATCCCGGCCACCCGGTGGAAATCCTCCGGCTGGAAGCCTCGGGTCGTCATCGCCGGTGTTCCCAGACGCAGTCCACCCGGCTTCAAGGCCGACTTGTCACCCGGCACCGTGTTCTTGTTGGCTGCCACTCCACACAGCTCCAGCACCCGCTCGACCCGGGCGCCATCGACGCCGCGATTCTTCAGGTCGACCAGAACCAAGTGGTTGTCGGTCCCCCCGGACACGATGTTGTATCCCAGCCCGCCATTGTTGACGGGATTGCCCAGTTTTTCGGCCAGCGCCTTGGCATTGGCGAGCACCGTCTCCTGGTAGGTCCGGAACTCTTCCGTCTGGGCCTGGCGAAGGGCAACCGCCAGCGCCGTGATAGTGTGGTTGTGCGGCCCGCCTTGGTGACCGGGGAAAACCGACGCGTTGATCGGGCCTTCCAGATCGTACATTTCCTGGTTCCCCTTCTTATCCGTACGGCGGACGCCCTTGCGGTAGAAGATCATCGCGCCACGCGGCCCGCGCAATGACTTGTGAGTGGTCGTCGTCACAACATCCGAGTGCGGGAAGGGCGAGGGAATCACGTCGGCGGCGACAAGACCAGAAATGTGGGCCATATCACTCAGCAGATAGGCCCCCACACTGTCTGCAATTCGGCGCATTCGTGCATAGTCGATCAATCTGCTGTAGGCGGACGTGCCGGCCACGATCAACTTGGGACGGTACAAGAGGGCGAGTTCCTCCAGGCCGTCGTAGTCGATAAGACCAGTCGTCTCATCGAGACGATATGGCACCGTTTCGAAGTACTTGGAGACGAAGGAGATCTTCTTCGTCGGGGTCTGGTATCCATGTGACAGGTGTCCTCCATGGGGCAGATCGAGTCCCATCAGACGGTCGTGAGTGTTAAGAAGCGCAGAGTAGGCATACAGGTTGGCGGGGGAACCGGACAGCGCTATCAACGTTCGTCAGTTCGAATTTCACCGTAATGAATAGATTCTGAGAGCTGCTCACGTTGCACATTGACACCCCACTCTTCCGGGTTGAGTCGGAAGGTTTCCAAGGCACGCTGCTGGCATAGCGATTCGGCCTCGTCGATGAATTGGTTGCCTCCGTAATATCGTGCTCCGGGATATCCCTCGGAGTATTTGTCTGAATGTCGCGAGCGTTAAAGATAAGGTCGAATCACTCTATCTATCAAGGAGATAACTCACTTTGCATGACACTACCTAACGCATCCAGCACGGCCTGAGACGTAAAGTTCTCCGACGGAATCAAGTTGATATAATGCTTTTGGCGTTTTTTCTCCTGTTCACTCTGTCAGTACCAGACGTCTAGCACCACACGGCGTCAGCAGACCTTTTGCAGGATATTGTACACCGCGGGGTCGGCTTCCTCGAGGTGGGTGGAGAGCAGCTACACGCGATTAGCACGGAGATAAAATCCTTCGAATCAGCAAATTGCAATAAGACTCGTGCACACCTTCTGTTGGCCATCATGGCTGTCAGATACATTACGTCTCTGCAGGGCGATTCTAGAGGGATGGTAGTCAGTCTGACATCTGCAGCGAGCGGTGGTAGCTCTAGCTCTGGCGGAGCTACCGGACAGCAGCAGCCTCGACGCCTGCCTGCTGCAGCGATTCAAGGACATGGTCGATATGGACAAAAGACGAGAGGCGTCAATCGAGACAACAATTGCAGATCAACCACTCCACGACTGCGGAGGGACAGGAGCAGCGGCCGAAGAGAGGCACGAGGCACGAGATAACAAGCAGGGCCGCAGCAGCTCCGCGGAGTGGGCGGCGAGCGGGCGCGGCTGCTTGCCCGCGGGATTCGGGAAACGCATGATCGCGCCGCTTATCCCGCTTGGGTTAGCGTGGCCCGTGCTCCTGCTTTTTTTTTTCCTTCGGCCAGTTCCTCTTCACGACTCTTTTCTTCTCCTCATCACACAACTAAATCCAAGATGATGAGATGGCCTCTACGGCTTCCTCAGCTCTCACACGCTGCTAGCTCCGCAAGGAGCAGGCGGCGCGTGGGCGATGCTGATATGTCCCGGGTCCAACGCACCATCCAACGAGGGGCAATGTGAAACCGTCTGATTGGAGAGTTGTGTGGACTGTTGTGATGCATGGATTTTTTTATTTACTGTGAATCGGTGAAAGATCTGTGAATCTGCCGCTCGCTGGTCAGTTGATTCTTGCTTGACAAAACGGAAGTGCAGGCACGGAGCATAATAATGGCACGTCACTGATACGCCTCTTCATGTGAGCCAACATACCTATCTGATGCTGTGACTTGAGGGTGAATATTCTTCGATAGAGTACAGAGTACAATTTATACAATCATTCGACTATTCCTTTCTAAATACCTGACTGCAACTCCATCGTTCTTCGTGTCAAACCGTTCTCGAACTATCTTGACAAGATCTTTTTTTGCAGGTCGCTAGAATTAACTTGTCTCTTACCGTCTCTCATACTACTACTGCAGCATCTGCCTATGAATCAAGTTTCAAGTTTCATTCCACCGTGACATTCTCGGTTTCCTCCGTCTTCTGCAAGCTAATTGCTCTGTTGGAGCCGGATCGGTCATCTCTGGACCCTTTTTCTGTCCCAAGTTGCGACTACAGTATGGATTTTTCTATGATGGATGATACCAACCTCATGGATTGAATAAGGCAATGAGAACCTTTTCTCCTGTCACTGAATCCATGACGGTACTCATCAGTTAGGGGGCGGGCAAAAAAGAAGCAGCTACTTCATGCTGAGTTCATTCTCCATTAATATTTATGAAAGCCTGCCCCTGACGGAGGTCGAGTCGTCTGGTTTACCGAGTACCAGACTTGATAATCAGTCACACCGCACAGACTACCAGTTGCAAGTTGCACCCAGTAGCCAGTGAGACTAACTGGGTTCTATGCTTCTGGAAGCCTGACGGTCGAAACAGTCAAACAATAGTGCTCCGTAGAGCAACAATAGTGCTCCACAGCTATAAGAGCTTAAGAGAGCTCCATAGGTTCCACACTTAGTCCACATAACAAAGGAGAGAGAAGGTCGATTCCGACTCGACCAGAGAGGTGGGAATTGGGTGAGGCTTCACTCTCCGCAGTACTCCGTACGGAGTATGGAGTACTCCATGTATCGTCCACTGCTGAGTGTTCACTGCTCACTATCGCTGATGATGATCAGTCTTAGAGAAGGAGAAAGAGAGAGAGAAGCTTAGAGAATAGTAAACCGTTAGAATGATACCGACGAATTGACATTATTGATCGCGACAGGCAAGATGAAGCAGTCAGACGCACTAGTCAGTTGATTGCTTGTTCTAGAACAAGCACTGGATAATGGCGGGTCTTTCGTCGGTTGAAAACTTGTCGTGGTCTCCGATGTCATATCATTACCTTACGGAGTTTACAGAGTACTCCGTACCCTACACTCTCCCAAAAAAAATAATGTTGGGAGTAACACCTTTTTCTCCCGTGAACTCCTTATTGAGGACAAGAAACCATACTGTGAACGCGTAAGCAGGGCAATAATTATTGATCAAGTCGAACGCTGCGAAAAGGCCAGCCATAGATCAGAGCTTGGTGGGATCCAGAGAAAGCAACGGCTGAGGCTCACTATTGAAAAAAGTCGACGATCTTGTAACCCCTGTCAACATGTCCTGGACACCTGTCAACTGAGTTAATGCTGAGTGAGATGCTCATACTCTGTAAGTGAGATTAGATTGACTGCTGTAGGGCAGGGCCCCTCGCAGCATGGAAAGCCTCACTCGAATTGCGTAACTGTGAGCAGCCGTCCTTGATCGTCAGAATTATTTTCTTCGTCAGCGTCTGAGATATCACCATGAACCTTGCATATTGACACGCCTTGCATGGTGCGGAGTACGGGGTAGCATGCTGAAGCAGCCAACAGGAAGGTACCAGTTGGATGGGATAACGGCAGGTGGTGTAGAGTGGCCAGACTTCATCTAATTGAAGATCGATCGTTATTGACAGCCAGTCTGCTTACCCCACGGCAGCAAGGGCGGCCAACGCAGCCCGCAGGGAAACTGGGAAAGCGCGAAGGGAGGACGGGTCACGGGGCAGGAACTGCCGTGGCCCCATCGAGTTTAATTAGGCCCGGGGATCGGCCAATCAGCAGGCGCGGGTGCCTTGCGGGCCAGCGGTAGCGCCTGCCTTGGCCCGGTAGCGTCGCCCGGGCCCTGCGCCTGCCTTGCTGGGCAACCCCTGAGCCAGCAGTCGCACAATCGCCCGCCAGCACGAGCAGAGAATAATACGAATAATCTTGTGCCAGTTCACTCAGCGTCAGCAGCGACTCAGCGTACTCTGTAGTGAGTGTCCAGCAAGGGTAGTTATATGATGACTCAGATGTACCATACAGCAAGTCAGTCGAGGTGCAGACTGCGGAGTACTCCGTACTAGAGGGCGATAATACCCGATATGTATAGTCGTGGAGCCAGTCCTCTATCGATCAAGCCCCTTGTGAATGAGGACGATGAAGTGGCTGGGCATTGACTTCGGCGCGCGCAGAGTGCTCCGTCTAGAGTAATACTCCGTAATTTGCAGACTGAAGGCTCGAAGGGTCTGGAGTCCTTACTTGCAAGATCAGCAGCGCCTAGACAGATGAACCAAGGACCACGCCGGCGTAGCGTCCAATATTCCCCTCGCAAAGGGCCCCATCGCGCGCGCCCAGCGCCCTAAACCCACGAGTGCCTGACTAGCCGACTCCATCGGCAGCGCTACTGCTGAGTTATTGCTTGTATAAAGGAACCGTCTCCGCCAGCCGGGCCCGCTCGTTCCCTTATTTCCCCTGTTCCCTCTTCTGTCTCTTCCTCTCCTCCAACCCACTCGCTCGTTGACCATCATCGCAAATCCCATCCCGGTTGTTTATAACCGATTTCATTCGTTTCTTGCTTGCGACTGTCAACGATTCAGACGCTCCTTTCTTCACACCCAACTACCTACATATTAGTCGACTTTTGACGACTTTTTCCTGTGAATAAAAAGTTCGTTTTTAATTACCCAACAAACAGTCACAATGCGCTTCTCCGTCGCTGCGATCGCTGCTCTCGCCTCTGGCGCTTCTGCTGCCGTTGCTGCTGGTGGCAGCAGCAGCGCTGCTCCTTCGGTCACCACTGAGGTCGTGACCTCTTACGAGACCTACTGCCCTGAGGCCACCAGCTTTGTCCACGGCAGCTCGACCTACAGTGTCACCAAGGTATGGCAAAAAAAAAACAGTTGAGACAGATTGGATGAGTATCTGGGAAAATGCGCAAGACCTCGGCTGACGATGGTGACTCATTATTAGCCCACCACCCTGACTCTGTCTGGCGGTTCCTACACTGTCACCCGGCCTCTGCTGACCTCCACCGTGACCTACTGCAACTCCTGGTAAGTCGCAGACCCTACTTGGCCTGTCGACAAAAGTCCTGATGGGTGTTGTATAGCGCCGGTCCTACTGCTCCGGCCGGTTCCTCTTCTGCCTCTGTTGCTCCCTCTGTGGCTCCGGTCTACTCGGGCAGCTCCGTCGCTGTGACCTCGACTCCGGCTCCTGTGGCCGCCACCCCGGCTCCTCCCAAGTTCACTGGCGGTGCCTCTCACGCCGCCGTTGGTGCCGGTGCCGGTCTGGCTGGTCTCCTTGGTGTGGCTGCTTTCCTCCTGTAAATGCGCTCACACGATCTATCTATCTATCTGATTTGATCTGAGTGTGTTAGGTGGTTGTGTGATGCTTTTTGAGGTGCATGCCATATGAGCCTTGACTGTTCATGTTTTTTTTTCGTTGGGCGTTTTTATATTTTTTTCCGTTTTGGGTGTTATTTTTTTTTACTCAAGACGGAAATGTTCAACTTGAATGAGTGAGTGAATAGTTGAAGTATTGTCACTTACTTCGATGTATTCAATTGGATTTATTTTTTTTTGTTTCATTTTTCGTTTACCTGCAACACATAACGATTATTACTATTGTAATAATAAAGAAGCTATTGATTTTGACGATCTTAGTACGAAGACACAAGGCAGGTGACAACGGGACGTCATTACCATTACCCCATACGGAATAGAACGTACCTACCTAGGTAGGTAAAATTATCGTTCAAAAATCTGCGAGCTGCTCTCTCCTGCCTAACCTGGACACTGCTGCTTTAACGGGGTGAGCTGGGTGAGTCAGGTGAGCGACTCACCCAGTCAAGGTGATTCGCTCACCCTAACTCATTTATACTCACCTCATCCTCACCTGTCCTCACCCATCCTTCCCTATCCTTCCCCGATGCTCACGCCGGTTGTTTAGCAACATCCTACCAAGGAGTCGCTATGCATAGAATAGATAGAAAATCGAGGGTTGCAGTGGGTCATCCCCTGCAACCCCTAAAGGAAAAGACAATGGTAAAAGTCCTGCGCCTCTGTTTTGTTCTCTGTTCTTCTGGCCTTGCTTATTCTCTCTTCCTTTTCCCCTGCTTCTCCCTGTTATGATTCTATAGATAGTTTTCCATATATCTTTATAGATTTTCTGCTCTCTTTCTGGTATAGGTTACTTCTAGAAAAGCTGCCAAAATGCCTAAGGTAGATAGACTTGCTCGCTAAAGCAAATGGCTATAACAGCCTATAAAGAGAGGGGCATATTAAGAGAAGGATAGTATAAGAACCAAAAATGAATATTTAGATGACTTAATTAAACTTTAGAATAGAGCATTAGTAGACTATAAGATATATAGTTTGATATATATTCTCTTATAATAATTACTAATTATTGTGAAGGCTGGTATTTTATAACAAGAGACTACGACATAGCCGTCGTGGAGTAGGCGATACGCCGTCGTAACGACAGAGAAGTAGACTTAGTAAAGGAACAAGGGGTGGATTCCGAAGAGAATGGATTGCTGAATCTCTAGATAGAAGCCCCCAAAGGGAGGTGTTCTATATCCTGGCCCACGACCTCGCTTCTACCCCGCCCTATTGTTTGGCAACCTTGCACCTCGAGTCTGTAGAGTTCTCCCGCACGTATGGCTGTGACGGTGGTCTGGCGCTAAGCGTTACAGCTCTCTCCTATATCTGGACCAGGATTATATAGAGGTTATGGATATATATAATATTATCTTCCTGGCTCTTGATGCTAATAGTAATAAGGTCTAGAGAAGATAGGGTTGTACTCCATCTAGTCTTAAGAATCTTATTAATAAAAAATATAAGTCCTTGTAACTAGGCTGTCTATGAACATGAGGTCAAAGTATTAACTATATGGGTAGTATATTGTGCTAATGTACCTGTTCCTCCAAGGCTCTAAGATAGAAATTATATTAAATTCCTTAACCTCTTATCTTAGAGCTGTCATGGCTCAGTCAAATTGTCACGGGCTAGAGCCCGTAGGGGGACTCGGGCCTGAGACCCTCGTTGGTCACATGACCTATCGTGCAGTAATACTGCACGATGCGATACTGCATTCTGATTGGTCCCGGTTATGAGCTGTAAGTTTATAACCTTCTCTCAGCTGCCCCTGATTTTGTTTCTTTTCTCTCCCATCGAGACCTCTTGTAAGCTACCATAGTTATTAGATAGCAATATGAGCCGATAGGCCCGTCACACAAATGAAATGAATCCATTTGGTAGCTATGTAACTAAGATTCGAAGCTGGAGAAAGAAGAAAAGAATATGAACTCTGTGGGAGAAGATATCTTGATATGACACCCCAAGCGAGCTGACCCTTTCCTAATTAGTAAACTGTCACGGGATACGGAGGAGGACGATATGACAGTCGATATGACTGCGCCGTCACAAGAGCAGGCTAGCTATGACCTTGTTCTTTGATTTTATTATATTGTACTATAGTATTGATAAGGTGGTCTTATAGTTTATTGTCACTGATTGTGAACTATAGGTCTATTAAGTATGGGTCTATTATACGGAGAGAGATTCCATGGGGAAAGAAGTTCCACGAGGAAGGAGGCTCCATACGGGGAGAGGTTTCATGAGGAGAGAGATTCCTTGCGGAAAGAAGTTCCTTGTAGAGCCAGGTTCCACGTGGAAGAAGATTCCATACGATGGGAGACTCCATGTGGAGAAGGATTCCACGTGGAAGAAGGCTCCATACAGAGAGGGACTCCATACGAAGACAGAGATCATACGGAAAGACATACCACATGGAGGGAGATTCCACGCGGAAGGGGGTTCCGTGTGGAGAGAGCTTGACATATAGCATTTGTGAAGCGTTATTCTATTTCTTGGCAACTAACTACATTGAGACTGATAGAATCGAAACCGCTAACCTCTACTGACTCCCCATCATGTAACACCGCCGAGTCCTTTGGGTGGCGCTTTCCTAAGGTATAGATTGTGCAGAAATTTTTCATAGCCGCCTTACCATCATCTGACATTTTGTTCATGCTTGCTGGTAGCTATAGAACATTATGACATTAATCACAGGCAACTGAAACTGCTCGCAAGTAACCAAAATGGATCGCAAAATTAGCTAATAGAGAGGCTGAAACGTCATGGTTCGCTTAATGAGTATTCTAATAATATTAACTATAATTTTGCTTGTAGTAAGATACTTCTAGCACTATATAATCATTTCAGTATTTTATAGGAGGATTATAATAATAAGTATAAGGATCAAAGAAACTACCTACATATTGATGAAAATAGCTCCCTTAGTTCCTGAATGGAGCTATTTCTACCTCTTGTGTTGTTGCTCGTTAGAAGGAAACCTTTCTAATTAGAGGCACACGTGGTTTTGGCTGTGTAAGGAAGCTCAATTTGATTCGCTATGAACCATTATGTACGAAAATCCTTGCACAAGGAAGTAGGAAACAAACATGCACGCAGTTAGAAGATGAACACCTGTAATCAAGCAACTAATACAAACACCGCACTAAACCCTTTTCACCAAGTAGTCAGAAGGTTCCTAATACTACCCCCCCCTAAAGATGTACTGTTGCGAAGTCCCCTGAGCGACCATACAGCTATAGTGAAAAAGCTGGTGGTTTCGGCTTTTCTGGGTATTCCTGGTAGAAGTCTAGTATCTTATCTACTGCTTACTTAGAATCTGACCATAGTTGCTATATGGGGTTTGGATTCTACTTGTCCTAGTCCCAAATATAGGTGGCTTTATAATATCTCGGAGGCAGGCTGCCTGCCTGCTTAGTCAGAGCTTAGTCAGCTGTCACGCCTGGCCTAACTATCTATGGCGGGCTCGGGGGGCCTAACCTCCTCACACCCTGATCGACGTAATATAGAGATTTCCAGAGCTTCCAGTTCTATCTCCTACTGAGTGTTGGCTCCTAAGGCCGAGGATATATTATATTGCGTTAGTGCCGTTTATTCCTGAATAATGGTCATAGAAGGCGTCATAGGGGTCAGAAAAGGAGTTTAGAATTATAAAGAATGGGTCACCTCTGGAGATGGTGATATTGACTAATGACACTGCCTACGCTGTTGGTACTCGGTGCTGCTAGTCAGTAGGTTAAGAGAGTAGCTATTAACGGACTTTCGCGTAACTATATTACAACTCATAGACATAGAATAGATCAAAGAGATATCCAGACGTAGTCATCACGGGAATACTCTGCATAGAAGACAAAATATGAGGACACATAGAAGTACATGGTGGACTTCAGACTGATTCAAAAATCCTCAGAAAGATTCCCACATTTAGTTGACAGAATTCAATGTCCAAATTGAACTCGCAATCTTCATATAGGATTGTACGTAGTAGATCTTCTCTTAATTAGATTATGCACCAAGTGCGTATATTGTTGCTGCACTTAGTTAGCATTGAATCGACCTTTTATAGCTCATGATTGACCAGATCATCATTTATCTTAGTTTGAATTCATGGAAGCTCATCTTATCCTGACTGGTAATTGGTCAGCCGTCATTGTCTGTGTATGTATCATATACTTCCCTGCTCTTGCGAATACTTGAATTCTTCTAGAGATCCTTGTATATTTCTGCTATTTGTTCTGATCCAAATCTCCTAGATGAAAATTCCATCAATTCAGGATTTATTTTGTTCGGTTACAGGCTCGCATCAAAATCTCACCTCAGGAAAGCTATTGGCTATCCTAGGATAATTTGTCCACCAAGATCCCCAAATCCTTTTCTAGCAGTCGCAATTCAGGAGTGATATTTCTTTATGATGTGTCTTAAGACATCAATAGTGGCAAGTTGAATGAAGGGTGACTCCAAAACAGATAATGTCCTCGAATGCTGTAACGTGTTCCACCCCTTACCCGGCCACACCGCCTACCCTGCCACCTCATCCGAATCCGCGAAACCTATACAAATCTGAACCTCTATTATCTACCCAAAATGGCAATTATTTACAAAAATCACGAATTGGAGCGATTAGGGCATTAAGTCCTTATATGCCTAATAGTACCGTATTCACTATACCTTGGCAGCATGTGCATATGAGGTACAGAAGCTGCCTCTATGGCCAGAGCAGTTATACCCTGCGGCACCTGATTTTTATCTGAAATTTGACTCCATATAAGATCCTGCACTTCTTGAACTAAAAGACCTCTTTTATGTGATATCTGATTGGTTAATTAAGTCCGCTTCTGCTTCTGCTTCTCATTTGCAGCCCGTAGATCACAATTTTCCTTTGCAAGGATAACAGTGCTATTCATGGCCAATTGACAGCCCTTAATAAGCTGATTTAGGGCTATATTTATAGGGCTTGGCGGGCTCTGCATATGCTATTTTATAAGGCGTTTCTGGTACCTAATTGGTTTGCTCAGTATTAATCATATTAATAAGCTGGATTTTCTTGTAGTATACCTAAAAGCTCAGATGGAGACCTTCAAACCTAAGAATATCAAGAATGGCTTTGCAGCAACTAGATTAGTGCCATTTGACCCAAATTGGGTCCTTATACAGCTCAATATACAGCTCAAAATGCCGATACTACCTGGAAGCTGTGCCAGCAGGGCTCCGAGAAATGGTATTGGCTTGGCCTGCTGTTCAGCATCGGACATATTTGCCATCTATGCGAAGCGGGCGACGAAGCTGCTGGCAGAGATCAAGGCGGATATTCCAAGGGGCAACAGCACCTACTCGATGGGCGTGTTGTTGAAGATGAACTGGGTGCGGGCCTTGACGACGGATCTCCCGGCGTGGCTCTGCTTCATCGTGGCGGCGCTCAAGACTCTGTGACGACCTCAGGTGTCGAGGAGGGAAATGCAGATGGGCGAAAGGCGACGACGTATGAGTCCTGTTCCTGGTGGTCCCACGGCCATTTCTTCATTTCCCCTTATGAGTTAGGGTGCGAAATTGAACCAAAAGGGTTGGTAGGAATGAGCATCAGGGAAGATGGTATCTAAAGTCGATGATATCAACATGGCAGAGCACCAGGAGGCGTTGACATTGGACGAGAAGGAGGGCGCAACAGCAGCAGGAAAGTGACAGAACGGGATGCAGCTGACGGGAGCAACACAGTTTCAGCGGGGGAGCAAGGAGCTGACCTAGGGAATCAGAGAAAAGGACATCGATGAGATAGCATTTTGGCATGATAGTAACCCCTCACATCGATCCCAAAGCCCCCCACCCTACCCACGCGCGCCCGACCAGAATCCTACACCCTCCTACTTCTTTCAATCCCAGGTATCCGAATACTCCTCCCAACCAGCATCCCCAAATACCTCCCCATGGCCTTCGACAGCCCTGCCCCCTCAGCCTCCCGGGGTCGACGTGTCCCAGACATGCGTGAAAGTGCTCAAACAGCTGTATTGGGTATTCTATTGAAATGGAGTCTAGTGTCAATCTCCTGATCTCTCAATTAATTAATGTCCTAATACTTGGAATTTCCTGAACCAGCTCAAGGGAAAACAATATCAAATCATACAGTCACTGAGAGCGCAATCCATTTTAGGCCCTATAGATGTGATATCCCTACTGATGTCGTTACAAAATGGTAGATATATTGATATACTAAAATATTCTAAGAAAACATGCTGCTGGCCCTGCCTGGGTAGGCACCAGGAACCAGAACCCAGGCATCTACACCTCCAAACCTGCTACTACAATACTCCTCTAATCAGCATACAACCTTTGATGATCATTGCTATCACTAGCTAGCTTTATTGTAGGCCTCCCAGGTTATTATCTTGTCATCAGAATCATCACCCAAACTATTCCCCTCCACCTGCCACTTCGGCTTCACACAATGACGACCCTTGGCCTATTCTCACGATTGCCATATGAAGTCCGAGAGCAAATCTGGCTGGAATTTGCTCCAACCGGTCAAGATATGTGCCTTAGATGCACACAAAAAACAGACCTTCGCATACTCTGCACAAGCAGAGATCTTTACGACGAGATATCAAGAGTACTTTATCAGACCTCCTCCTTGGAATTCGATCTCTCACCTATTCACCAACCTGGAAAGATATGGACCACTGTCCATTTTAAGCAGGGACGCCATCAGCAGAGGGTAAATGCCAGGTGGATCCTACACAGCTTAGCCGATGCGCGATCTCGTGGCTTTCACCATCTCCCCTTCGACAGGATCGATAATGTGATCGTGAACCTCTCTGCACCAAACCCCAAGGGTGCCGGCAGACTTTTCTGGCTTTGGCAAAAGGTCACCGACCTGGTTAGCCTTTTCAAAGAAGCAGCCACCACAATCCGAAACCTGACCATCCGGCTCCAGAAATGTAATAACAAGAACGGTCAAGATTGGCTCGATCGATGGGGAACAGCCAACCAGAGCATATTCCGCCTCTATGACCACGATGTGGTCGTTGTACCCTTCTGCACATTACGGAATCTCGAGACCATTGATGTCGAAACCCACTCCAAGGAGCTCGAGGACACGATTGATTGGAAGATCATGAATTGGGCCATGAACGCTGTCTGGGACAGAAGCTGGAATCACTGTGTCTCGGCAGACTATACTAAAGGCGATGAAGATGGAATCGCCGAACACGATGTGGACCGCAAGGTGGCTAGTGACTACTTCTGGATCTACAAAGAGTTATGGAACTACGCCGAGGGCAATGCGGCCAACCTGGCACGGCGCAACTTTCTCAGCAGTTGGTTTGCTCAGGGGTCTAGCGGCTATTCCAAGTTTGAACAACAAATCCTTCGGATTAACAGTCTCTACCCTGATATTATCCAAGCCTACGATCCTGACATGGTTGGATTAAGTGAGATGCATCTTGCACTGGTGTGTCTATATCACCATGCGAGATCATTGCACGGCAGGAGGAATAATACGGAAGAACCAGATTACTGGGACCAGGAGGTATGGGAGTTGGCCTTTCCATTTGGTATTCCAAGATCAATGTTGGATGAATATCGTGACAAGATTGAGCCTCTACTGGACTGGGATACTTACTTTGATTATGTGGAGGAGAAGGGTGGCTTTCTTTCAACCTTCAACCACGTTCTTGAAGAATGGAAGTCCAACAGATCAAGCCAAAATCCAGAAGAAGAACTGCAAAACGCGGCTGTCACTGAGCAAACGGCATGACAAGATGATATTATTAGCCGGTCGTTGGTACATGCATGTATATCACTAATATGTATAGTAAATGTACTATAGGTCGACAAAGAAAAAAAAAGATTCATGGTAAAGATTGGCCTAATTCTAAACGTTTGATTTGTGTATAGTAACAAGAAGCCCAATACATAAATGGAGAAATGCTCCAGGAGGGAGAAAGACATAGTCTGCTACTCAGCTTCTCCCAAATTGCACAGTTGTGTCTAAATAGTGTAGGCATAATTAATTGCCTCTGATCTAATAGTATGACCACACCAGACATGCAGACAGTGGTGTCGCCTAATGTGGATATGCTCTATGCAATTGGAGTGTTACAAGTCCGGATGAGATTCTCTCCTTTGTTATCACTGCATAGTTGAAAATCTCATTTGATAATATCACACTTTGTTCCTACCTAACTAACCTATATGACATGCATATATAGATCGATGTCGATCGAGAGTGTGAGAGTGTCAGAGAGTGAGTGAGATCGGGATTGTAATTATTGTTACTATTATATTATAGCTTTGGTTTAGCCTTGCCCTCTCTCCGCGCTTTCTCCTCAAAGTATTCTTTCACTCGCGCCCGTGCAACCTCTACCACCTCTGCGTCCTCCACCGTCGGCGGGACGTTCACCGGCGACGTGTAATCGCCCTTGACTGCGTTCTCGACCAACTCGCGCAGCACGCGCCGCAGCGTCTTGCCGCTTCGCGTCTTGGGGATCATGCCGCGCCCCTGGATCATGCCGCCTAGCGAGGCGATGGCGCCGATCTGCTCGCGGACGAGGCTGTTGACAGCCTGGAAGAATTCTGGCGTTGGGGTCGCTGGGAGGGAGGAATTGGTGCCGTCGCTGTTGGTTATCCGCGGCTGGACGAAGGCGAATGGCAGATGGCCTTTCAGAGAATCTGGAATACCGACAACGCTGGCCTCGCCGATGTCTGGGTGCGACAGGATGGCTTGCTCAATCGCTCCTGCGATTGTTGTCAGAATACCAGTTCGAATGCTTGAATTCAATATACAAACGACAGGGCACATACCGGTACTGAATCGGTGCGCCGCTACGTTGATGATGTCGTCCGATCGAGACATGATGTGGATATACCCCTGCTCATCGATCAGGCCGGCGTCGCCTGTGTCCACCCACCGGCCATTGAACCGCTTCAGGTATCCCTTGTAGAATCGCTCCTCGTCGTTGAAGAGCGTGGTAAAGGCAGTCGGAGCCAGGGGTATCGCCATCACAATGTTGCCCATCGTTCCCTTCGGGACTTCGTTGCCCTCATCGTCCACGACTCGGACGTCAAACCCCGGCATCGGTTTTCCTGCGGATCCAGGCTTGATAGGCAAGGCTGGATGAGGTCCTCGGTTCGGATCAGCATTCAGTTGGCCCAGTGTGCTCTGCAGCGCCAATCCGGAGATGGGTGATCCAGACTCCGATGACCACCAATTGTCCACAACCATGGCACCGGGGGCAGCGTGTTTGGACAGCAGATCCTGGAACGTCCTCACAATGCTGGGCTCACTCCTTTCACCAGCAAGGAACAGCGCCCTCAAAGACCTGAGACCGCCGCGTCGGCCGACTTCTTCTAACAGCTTGCTCTCCGGGTCGTCTTTCCGCATGGCACGAAGTGCCGTTGGGGCCGTAGAGAGCACATTGACCTTGTTGGCCTCCACAACTCGCCAGAAAGCACCAGCATCGGGCGTTCCAACCGGCTTGCCCTCGTAGAGGATGGTCGTCGCGCCCACCAGCAGCGGTGCGTAGAGAATGTAAGAGTGACCTACGACCCAACCGATGTCCGACGCACAGAACATGACATCTCCAGGACCTTTGATGTCAAACAGATACTTGATCGAGAGGCTCAACCCGACAGCATGCCCGCCAGCCTCACGAACGACGCCCTTCGGCAAGCCGGTCGTGCCTGGGAATTATATCAGTCAGTATCTTCATAAACGGAAGAAACCAGGCGTGAACTGACCGCTTGTGTAGATGATGTACAGCCCGTCGTTGCTCTTCACAGGCACCGGTCCCGCACGAATGCCTCGCATCCGTCCACTTTTGACGAGCCTTTGCCAGTTCCTCTGGCCACCCAACTTATCAGGCTGGTTCCATCGCAGCTGATCCCGTTGCCAGATGATGACTTTCTCCGGTTTGAACTTGCTCTTCTGGATGGCACCCTCGACCAGCGGCCGGTAAGCCAAGGGCCCCTTGGCTCCTTCGATGCCGCATGAGGCTGTCATGATAACTCGGGGCTTGGCTGCCTCGATCCGTTGTGCCAGAGACGCAGCCGCGAATCCACCAAAGACGGCAGCGTGGATGGCCCCCAACCGGACAGTAGCCAGAGCTGCAATGAGTGCCGCCGGGATCATGGGCACTGCCAAAATTAGTATTTGTCTGTGCCAACTTAAACAAAAGAGGAGATCGGCATACTGTAAATGATCACTACGTCTCCCTTCCGTACGCCTTCCTCGCGTAACACTCCCGCCAGGACTTCCACCTCGTCTTGGAGCTGTCGGTACGTATACGTTTCCCGCTGTCCGGTGACGGGAGACTCCCATACAATGGCGATATTGTCACCATTGCCATTCTCGACATGCCTATCCACGCAGTTGTAGGTGGTTGAGATCTCGCCGTCCGGGAACCAGCTCCAGTGCTCATGACTGACACCGCTCGGGAGCGTCTTGGTCGTTCGAACGAGGGTACGGGATGGCTGTTTGTGCCAGTGGAGTTGTTTCGCATGGTGACCCCAGAACGCTTCGGGGTCGCGGAGGGAGAGCTCGTGGACGGCGTCCTGCGGATGTAGTGCCATTGCTTTCCGTTCGATTTCCCAATAAGTTGCTATTGAACGAATGAGTTAGGACAATTAGCTCGGGAGTGCACAAGAAGAAGGTCGTATTATTTTCCCGTTGATAGACAGGGATGCCCCTTGTACGATCAGAGTCGGGTTCCTATCCAGCCAGCCACAGTGAAGGCTGTTTGGCGGTTGCTTTGTTCCCTGGAAAAGGGCCTGATGTTGCTAATTTCCAACCGGAATTAGACTAGATTAAGAATAAATAAAATGACCTGTAAGCTGCAAGCAGGCAGAAGGCCTTGGGGAGCATGAGGTCAGGCCGATGGAACTCGGTCCGAGGGAAGGGAAGGGGGTCCGACGAGTGCAACAAAGGACGCCTCATAGATCGACGAGATGCTTAGGTTTAGGTGCAGCCATCGGCTCAGTGCGCCAGCATCTTGGGCGACTGCCGATCCGGACGAACGGCTGCAGAACTCTTAAGAACAAGGGGGGTTGTCTCTGCGTCCACTGTGAGGACAGCCGTCGAGGCTTCTTGCCAGATTCCCCGCGGCAAGCCGGGTTGATTTGATTGATGGGGAAAGCTCCCCCGCACAACTCCGCAAATCAGTATCCGCAGTGGGTACGCACTAGGGACTAACATCTGTCTTCAGATTAGAGAAAATATACGATACCTGCATCTACGAGATGGACATAGACTTATTGGAATTTGAAATGGGGACAAATCCAGCAGACTGATAATTAATTCTAGTCGAGACTCGATCTTGGCCATAATAAATTAGGTAGATACTGCAAATAATTAATTAGCAACATGCTTTCTTTCAATATATTGCTCGAGTAGAGAATAATAGAAATAGAAATACTCCGTAGAAATAGAAGAAAGGACGGGAGGCTAGAAACCAGGTGTCTGCTCGCTCTCTCTCTTTTTTTTGTCCCTCGTTTCCCTCGTTTTCGGCCCTCAAACCTGAATGACGCAGAGCCGCATAGCCTGCAGGGGTATACTCCGTGCAGTACCTACGTACGTATCACGTAAGACGGTAGGGGCCGGTCCATTTTCCATAGACATGGTTCATGGGTCTGTTGACGTGCCACACATATACACATGCAGTCCATGTAGGACAAATGGCGTATACACTCCAGCATTCAGGGCTGCCAAGGTAGATCAATCAATCAATCATATACCTCAGTTGTGATCATCATCAGGAAAAGACCAACGGACCCCAATTGTCATTTAAAAATAAAAAAGACTCTCACAGTCTTAATCCAAAGCATACGTAACGAATAGCAATGATGAATAATGATGGAAACCATTGCTCGTGCTTACATTGCATACGGGTGGATGCCAAGCCATATCTGGATCTGTCTACCATGCCTACACTCACTTAGAATACGAGGGCAACGCCACAATTCTATGAAATCGGATAAAGGAATATCCACATTGATTGACTATCAGGCAGCTGTGCTTCATAGGGTATCTCATCAAAATATGTGCGACATGCTCAAAGTTCCAGTATAAATTTTTTTTTTGCGTATTTTTTTTCTTGTTTCCTTTCCCTTCTAATCTGTCTGGCGGAAGCTCCTTGGGCAATTGGAAGGCAACTAGGGGTAGAAGGACATTTAACGAAAGCCCTTCTCTCATACTGCACAAGTAGCCACTGCCGTCGAGATCGCCCCCTCCCACAATGGATCCTCTCTTGTCAGCTCTCCTCTCTTCAGTTCAACCCCCAATCCCGGGAAGTACTTTTGGCAGCGGAAAACATGCAATGAGACTTGAACAGCAAAAGTGCCCCCATCCCTTTCCCCCGATCGGTAAAAAAAAACACGTATCCTTTTCAAGACAAAGCCAGACGACTCTATAGTGGTGGTCCAGATGGCCCCCACACTTGCTGCGTCTCACCAAATCCCATGATAGAACAAGATGAAATGACCTTAACACCCTAACAAGAGTCGAGGGGGAGAAAAGAATAGGAAATGTAAACAAAAAAAAAAAGGAAAGACCCTGAAGTCATCTCCGACAGACGAAACCATACATTATGCATCAACCATTAGCCATGATTTTCGAACGGAGGTCTGCGTACCGGCCGTAACCCACGTCGTCTTAGAATCTGGTTGTCGGTGGGACGGGATAAACATGCAACGGATCGCAGGCGATCACGATCGTAGAATAGTCATAAGGGGGAAATGAAAAAAAAAAGGGAGAAAAACAAGTATATCCAGCGTGAGCTGGGAGATCGCCACCATGGTGGTGTCCCAAGTATATGTCCGCAAAATATTCACTAGAATGAGACAGCATTCAAATGCGAAGAAGTCTGGCTTCTAGAATTGAACGAGGTGCGGAAAAAAAAAGCCCTTCCCGTCCGCGACGCCTTTCACAAAACGATACATTTCAGGCCACCCCGGTGTGATCGGGACCGATCAGGGCGGAAAGACTTGGGGAATTCTGCATTCGCATCGCGCTGACCAGATCCAAACCCGGTGGTTCGTCGGTCCTGTACTCGACCGCCCTGCTGCTGTTGTCGCTGTTGCCGCAGCAATCGCACCACGTCGTAAAAAGCTTTCTCCACGTTGATGCAGTTCTTTGCAGATGCTTCAACAAACTCGCACCCGAGCTCTTTCGCCAGAGCGGACCCTTCCTGAGCGGAGACAGCCCGTTCCATTACTTTATCACTCTTGTTTCCGACCAACATTACGGGAACAGGAAGCGGTTTATGGCCCGTCGGGGAATTCATAGGCGATCCCAGGTAACCACCGCCGGTAGGGGATCCCGAATTGGCGGACTCCTTGACCATTTGGATCTGGTTGTAGAACTTGGTTATGCGACTGAACGAAGCGCGAGAAGTGATACTGTAGACGAGCACGAAGCCCTCTCCATCCCGAATCCACTGGTCCCTCAAGGCAGTGTACTCCTCCTGACCGGCCGTGTCCAAAACCTCGAGCATACAGGATTGTTGGTCGATGACAACTTGCTTTCGGTATGAATCTTCGATGGTGGGATCGTACGTCTCAACGAAATGGTTCAAACAGAGCTAGTCAATCGGCCAGGTCAGTCTTCCGCCGCCAGCGCGGTCCCATTGTAGTTGGAGCAGGTTGCGAACCTGAATCGTGAGAGCGGTTTTTCCGACACCTCCATCCCCCAACACCACCAACTTGTATAATGTCATTTTCCCCGACATGGTTGCGGCAGCTCTCCCCTGGAGAGATAGAACGGCTTTCTATTTTGACTTGGGTGTGCTTCAATTTCGTGGATCGATCGATCAGAAGGGCAATTCGGACAGACTGCGATCAACGCCTGTCCGGTGGGGTTGGCGATAAGAGATGATTGATAATGGAACGAGCGGATAAGATAAAGCACGGAAAATGGGTAACGGTCTGCTGATCTGGGTTGCGTCAGAAGGAGGGAAAAAAAAAGGGAAGAGAAATGAAGAAAAAGATCTAACCGTCACCAGAAATTGAAGCTAAAAATGGCACGCCAGGAAGATCGGGGGCGGACTTATTTTGGTAATGTATGGTATCGGACGCTAGACGCACACGTGTTGAACACCGCCAGTGTGTGTGTGTGTGGTTGTAC